GGAGCCCGATGCAGGACTTGATCCCGGGACTCCAGGATCATGACCTGAGCCGAAGGCAGTCGCTTAACCAACTGAGCCACCCAGGCGCCCCTGAAGTACAGTTTAATTAAAGTAAATCAACAGACCTCTTTAAATAATATTGTTAAAATGCTAAGAAATCTGTATGCAGAATTCTCACTTCAGTCAGCAATTCTTTACCCACATCCTTGGAGCAAATGTGATTCAGAATTCAGGATTTTTTGGATTTTAGAAAGATAACGAGGTTCACATAATACATGTTAAACACTCCTGTTGAAATTGAACTAGCACCCAGTAGTCAGACACGTATTATCATATCTACTATAAAATATGTGAATATCCACTCCAGATGGGATAAGTGAAGACCATAAGTAGCCTGTTGAAGTCAGGTTTTGTTGCCAAATAGGTTACAAAAGAACTTTGTTTATAAAGTGCCTATTTTCTGCTTTCTTGATGCCACTTCTGCCTTAATGCTTTCGGTATGTAAATAAGGGTGGTAATATATAATCAATTTTATATCAGTCAGCTGCTAATATTTAAAAGCCAAGTCATTGTAGCTCTTAAGTTGTATAAGTATTCACAATTAGAGACTGTTGTGAAGTGGTTAAGAGGGCAGACCTTGGATCTTGACTGATGAAGTTCGTACCTAGATGAGTATGCTGGGAAAGATTCTTCTCTGTGCCTCAATTTCCTCAAACTATTGAAGTGAGGATACTAATGGAGCCTTGGGGATTATTGACTTCATAATGAATGCTCAGAAAATTTTAGATATTTTATTATTTTTTGGGGTTTTTCTTAAGTTGCTTTTGTTTGTGATTTGGTTCCATTGTTGGTTTTTCTTTTTTTTTCGAGGAATCTAAAGTTGCTTAGGAAGTATTTGCTTATATTTGTGTGAACAAGCAAGCAGTTTAATTTTGTATCTCATACATATAATTAATTATGAAGTAAATTCTTACAGAATTAGTTTGTATTCCTACCCAAAGGTACAAGAAACCAGAGGAACGGAGTCCACTGGTAGCAGCAATGCAGCATTTCCTGCCAGTTCTAAAGGACCGTTTTATCCAGCTTCTTTCTGATCAATCTGATCAATCTGTCCTCATCCAGAAACAGATTTTCAAGATCTTCTATGCTCTTGTTCAGGTAATTTTATAAAGCAGTTTTATAAAGCAGTTTTTATATATAAAAGTCTATCATTTGCTACATTAAAAGATAACAGAATTTCTGTGTCTTGATAATAATTTCATTTGAAAATCTGGATTAAATGGATGATTTGCTAGTCAAATATTAATTGCCAAAATTATATGTGCATTAAAAGTCTGACCAAGCACACTTCCCTAAATACACAAACAATTCCAATAAATCTTAAATTATAACTGGTCAATCGTAAGTTCTCTTAACCCATCTGACACTATTTACAAAATTAGTAAAAATTTTTTATGCCTTTCACCTTAAGAATTCACAAGTCTGAAAATCAGTTACTGAAATTACAGTTTATATTTAGCACGAAGAGCATGAACCCGATGTTCCAAATACACATAGATTGTCCCAGTAATAAACAAAACCTATTCCTAAGTTTAACACAAAAGTACTAATACTGTGGCTTGACTGGCACACAATGGACTTCATCCTTTTTACATATTCTGAATCTTCCTGGGATAAAAGATACCCACTAAGGAAATGATTGAATTTTCTTAGTGGGATGTAATTACTTATATGAAACAGTTTTTGATCAGGATTAAAATTCTAGTTCTTTTTGTGCCATGTAGCCATAGAAGGATTCATCTCGTGTACTAGAACCTTTGGTTCAATTCATACCCTTACTTAACTTTAAAATCTCATTTAAATAGACCTGTAACTTCCAGTGCAACTGACTCACCATATTGTTTGGTTGGATTTTGCGTGTCTTTCCTAGATCAGTAAAGACAATCTATTATCTCCCAGTCTTAACCAAAGGGCACTTTAATGCCATTCCATTGTCGTCTTCTTAAAGAATTTTTAAAAGTGGTTTGGGTATACCATTTCTATACTGTTCTTGTTTTCTAATTGGTAAGATTATAACTTAGATTAAGAGTAAGTTATTTTTGTAAACTGTTCTAGGGCATAGGACAAAATATTTAATTTCCCAACTAATTTTTTGATGCTAGCATACCCTGATATCAAATATAACCCTGTCTCACTTGTGAAAATAGATATCCTAAAATCCTGAATAGGATATTGATTTTATGAGCCTATTGAGAGGATTTATCCAAGGAATGCAAGAGTTGGATCAATGGTAAGAGATCAGTTTCTGTGATTAACTCTTATATGAAAAAAAGGACCTGTAACCATCTCTAAGGATGCCAGATAAAGTATTTGATAAAATTTAATAACCATTCCCACTTTAAAAAACAAAAAACAAACTAAGAGTCCTGGAATAGAAATTTTCTTCACTTGATAAAAGATGTTCACTAGAAATCCACAGTATCACCCTTATGGTAAAAATAAGATATATTCCCAGTAATTTGGGAAAAAGACAAGGATGTTCACTGTCAGTGCCACAATTCTCTGTTGTAGATAACTGACCAAATCAGCCAGATAAGAAATTTGCTTGTGTACTAAAAACTGGAAATCTGGGTTGAATGAAATACTTTTTGTAGGTTTTGTGAAGAGTTGAAGTGGGATTTTCTTTTGTAAGGATTTTAAAGTATTGATTCTTGATTTTTGTTTAGTATACACTACCACTGGAGCTGATAAACCAACAGAACCTGACAGAATGGATAGAAATTTTAAAGACTGTTGTGAACAGAGATGTACCTAATGTAAGTCTCTGTATGTTCTTGTATTACTAAAATATCTAATTATCTTTTGAGAATTTTAACTGATTTTTCTGTAACATTTTTATGAGTTTATATAATTCATGATGCAAATTATTCTAGATAAAGAGACCATTTTGTTTGTTTATTACATAAGTGCAATATTAATAAAAAACTGTGCAGGGTTATTTCATATACTATTGTTTAGGTACTTCTCTTTATCCTAATGCTTCTGTTTCTTCTCAGTTTTTTATTAATCTATAAATTTTTTTTTTAAGATTTTATTCATTTGTCACAAAGAAAGAGCACACGCAGGGGGGAGTGACAGGTAGAGGGAGAAGCAGGTTCCCTGCTGAGCAATGAGCCTGATGCAGAACTCGATCCCAGGACTGGGGTCATGACAAGCCAAAGGCAGATGCTTAACCGACTGAGCCACCCAGGTGTCCCTATAAAGATTTTTTTTATTTGAGAGAGAGAGCACATGAGCGGGGTAGTGGGAGAAGCAGACTCCCCAGTGAGCAAGGAGCCCTACGCAGGGCCTGAGATCATGACCTGAGCCAAAGGCAGACACTCAACCAACTGAGCCACCCAGGAGCCCCTTTATTTAAAAAAAATTTTTTTTAAGATTTTATTTACTTTTTGACAGAGAGACAGCGAGAGAGGGAACACAAGCAGGGGAGTGGGAGAGGGAGAAGCAGGCTTCCCATGGATCAGGGAGCCCGATGTGGGGCTTGATCCCAGGACCCTGAGATCATGACCTGAGCCAAAGACAGACACTTAACCCAGTGAGCCACCCAGGCTCCCCATGATGAAAATTTTTGAGATCTACTCTCTTAGCACCCTTCAAATATACAGTACAGTACTGTTAACTATAGTCACTATGCTGAACGTTATATCTCCAGAACTTATTTATCTTATAACTGAAAGTTTTGACTACCTTCTTAAATTCACTATGGTAATCATTTCACAATGTATACATATATCTCACCATTGTGTTATACACCTTAAACTAATACAATTTTATATATTATATATATTTTTAAAAAGCGCTTGCAGCTAGATTTTAGCCTAATAATTTGTCAGACACTCATGAACCAGAAGACTTTGTAGTTAGTTACATTGTTTTTTTAATTTTATAGATATAACCCATATGCCATAAAATTCACCTTTTCAAAGTATACAATTCAGTGGGTTTTAGTACATACAGAATTGTACATACAGAATGTAGTACATACAGAATTTTTTTTAAGTCACTTCTTAAGAAAAGATTTATTTTTGAGAGAGAGAGCACAAATGGGGGTGAGAGGCAGAGGGAGAAGCAGACCCCCCACTGAGCAGGGACCCTGGGATCATGACCCTAGCCGCATGCAGACGCCCAACTGAGCCGCCCAAGTGCCCAGTTTAGTCACAATTTTTATTTTATTTATTTATTTTTTATAATTATGGTTACTTTTTTTTTTTTTTTTTAAGATTTTATTTATTTGACAGAGACACAGTGAGAGAGGGAACGCAAGCAGGGAGAGTGGGAGAGGGAGAAGCAGGCTTTCCACAGACAGGAAGCCCAATGCGGGGCTCGATCCCAGGACCCTGGGATTATGACCTGAGCCGAAGGCAGACGCTTAATGACTGAGCCACCCAGGCGCCCCAGTCACAATTTTTAAAGTAACTGCAATTTTTCTTTATAATCTAGTTTTCTAAAGAGGTAGGGGGATTTACAAGTCCTGAATACATGATGTGTTTTAAGTGTTTTAACATTCCTTATTTAATCCTCAAAAAAAATCCCTCTGAATTTATTTTTTATTTCCCCATCCCCTCTGAATTTATTTTATTTTATTATTATTTTTTAAAGATTTTATTTTAGGGGTGCCTGGGTGGCTCAGTCGTTAAGCGTCTGCCTTCGGCTCAGGTCATGATCCCAGGGTCCTGGGATCGAGTCCCACATCGGGCTCCCTGCTCGGCGGGAAGCCTGCTTCTCCCTCTCCCACTCCCCCTGCTTGTGTTCCTGCTCTCGCTATCTCTCTCTCTGTCGAATAAATAAATAAAAAATCTTTAAAAAAAAAAAAAAGATTTTATTTTATTTGAGAGAGAATGCACAGGTGTGCACGCGCATGAGCGAGAGAGAGCAGTAGCAGGGGTAGGGGGAGGAGCAGAGGGAGAAGCAGACTCCCCGCGGAGCAGGGTGTCCGATGCTGGACTTGATCCTAGGACCCTGGGATCATGACCAGAACTGAAGGCAGGCGCTTAACCGACTGAGCCACCACCCAGGCACCCCCTTCTGAGTTTATTTTAAGTGGAGACATAGAAGGGTTATATAATTTATCCAAAACAATTTTATTAGTGGCATAACTGAGACCAACCTCCTGTTTTGTGGTTTATTGCTTACATTTCTATTTAAAAGGAAAAACAGTGTAGAGGTGCCTGGGTGGCTCAGTTGGTTGAGTGTCTGACCCTTGATCTTGGCTCAGTTCTTGATCTCACAGGGTTGTGAATTCGAGCCTAATGGTGGGCTCTGCACTGGGTGTGGAGCCTGCTGTAAAAAAAACAAAACAAGGGTGCCTGGGTGGCTCAGTTGGTTAAGCGACTGCCTTCGGCTCAGGTCATGATCCTGGAGTCCTGGGATCGAGTCCCACATCAGGCTCCCTGCTCAGCAGGGAGTCTGCTTCTCCCTCTGACCCTCCTCCCTCTCATGTTCTCTGTCTCTCATTCTCTCTCTCACAAATAAATAAAATCTTAAAACAAAACAAAACAAAAACAGTGTAGAAGAAAGGAATAGAACATTTCTTCCACTCTGTAGGAAACTAGTTTGGTGTATATTTTTCTGGACACATTTAATAGGTACAGAATAAAATTTTAAAAGTTTTCATTTATACACTCTGTACTTTTTGGGTATAATTTATAAACACTCACATATTATAAACAAACAGTCCAGTGAGTTATCAGTTATATGTATCCATGTAATCATCACCTAGAATATTTGCTGGTGGCTAGTTTTAGTCATTCCTATCATCACCATTCTCATTTCTAGGACCATAGATTAGTTTTGCCTGTTCTAGAACTTAATATAAAATAATTTTTTGTATGTACCTTCTTTTGCATGATATATTTATGAGATATATTCATGTTGTGTTATAGTAGTCTGTTCCTTATGTATTCATGTTGTGTTGTAGTAGTTTGTTCCTTTTTATTACCAAGTAATATTTTATTGTGTGGATATACTACAGTTTATCCGTTCACAAGTTGATGGACAGCTGGGTGGTTTCAGGATTTTAGTAGTACAAATAAAGCTGCTATGAATATTCCTACACAAATCTTTTTGGGATCATATATTTTCATTTTGAGTATACCAAAGAGTGGAATTGGATCATAGGGTAGGTATATCTTTAACTTTATTAGTAACTTCTAAAGTGATTTTCAAAGTGGTTGTACCGTTGCTCTCACTTTTTGTTTTAATTTGGGGTTGCTCCAAAGTCTCACTTTCCCATTACAAATTAAAAATACGTTGGTATGTTATAGGTCAGTATGTAAGGATCCAATCCATTCTTTTAGTGGATTGTATAGTAGTCTTTTATAGATGTTCCATAATTAAGCATTCACTTATCAGTGAATGTTTAGGGTCTTGGTAGTTTTCCACTATTGTTTTTAAATGAAGGTCTTCATCTGTCTATCCTTTTGTGTTTATACTAATATTTCTGAAACTAGATTTCTGAAATGGTGTTTTTCGTGCCCTTTTGATTTGAACTATACTGGTTTTGATTAAACTACTTTCCATGGCCTTGACTTTATATTATTTGGATTTTGACTAAAATGTTTGTGTTTGAGCTTGCTCTATAAGAATTTTAAAAAGTAGGGGCGCCTGGGTGGCTCAGTCGTTAAGCGTCTGCCTTCAGCTCAGGTCATGATCCCAGGGTCCTGGGATCGAGCCCCGCATCGGGCTCCCTG